ATTAACAACCTTCAATACACAGATGACCCAGCCTTGCCTGCTGAAAGAGAAGAGGACTTGAAGAACTTACCGATAAAGATAAAAAAAACTACAGTCTTCAGTATAGATTAAACCTCAACATAAAGAAAACAAAAATCATCACAATTGGACCAATAAGCAACATCATGATAAACGGAGAATATATTGAAATTGTCAAGGATTTAATTTTACTTGGATCCATGATCACCACCCACGGAAGCAGCAGTCAAGAAATCAAATGACATATTGCATTGGGAAAATCTGCTGCAACAGACCTGTTTTAAGTGTGAAAAGCAAAGATGTCACTTTGAGGACTAAGGTGAGCCTGACCCAAGCTGTGGTATTTTCAGTCGCCTCATATGCATGTGAAATCTGGACAATTAATAAGAAAGACCAAAGAAGAGTTGATGCCTTTGAATTATAGTGCTGATAAAGAATATTGAATATATTATGGACTGCCAGAAGAATGCACAAGTCTGTTTGGAAGAAATACAGCAAGAGTGCTCCTTAGAAGCGAGGATGGTGAGACTTTGTCTCAAGAACTTTGGACATGTTATCCGGGGGGACCAGTCCCTGGAGAAGGACATCATGCTCGGTAAGGTAGAGGGTAAAAAAAAAAGAGGAAGACCCTCAATGAGATGGATTGACACAGTGGCTGCAAGAATGGGCTCAAACATAACGATTACGAGCATGGCGCAGGACCAGGCAGTGTTTTGTTCTGCTGTACGTAGGGCTGCTATGAGTCAGAATCACCTCGACAGCACCTAACAACAACAGGTAGTTCCCTGCTCCTGTTGTCCATGAAGATGGGCACAGAGTAAATCCCGGGTGTGACCTAAACAGGCAAAGCCACACTATGAAGCTGACTCGTTGGTAAAAGCAGAAAATCACTGTCCCATTTTTGGCTGTTGACTCCCAACCCCTGCCCACTCCATTGCTCCTCCTATTCTCACATGGGATAATTCTGGGATGTGGGTCTCACAACAACCTAGGAAAAGGAAAATGGGGGATTAAGTTTCTTCTACCATAGCGGGTTCTCTTTCCTTATTGTTTGCTTTTTATTTAATCTTGCGAGATTCCAATGCATTGTGCCCAAAGTTTTTCTTACTTTTTCACACCTTTGAACTTGAGGTGGCTGCAAAATAGCAGGTCTTAGAACATGTTCAGTATGTTTCACAGGACCTTAAAAGAACAGCATAAAAGGGTCAATATATTGTTAGTGAAATACTTTTTCCTCCCCACTTTTGTATTACACAATGCTTGTTTTCTAAAATCATGACTAAATGAGGGGTGATATAACGAACCAAAGTCAAAATAACCAGTGAATCGCCTACTCCTCACTCCCCACCTAGCTTTTACCCAATAACTATTTATTTTGACCATGGGACCAGAATTACCAAGTATATTCCTTCATGATTAGTCACTGTGCCTACCCTCATACCCTCAACACTCATATTCACAAACAGATTAAAATATAGATAGTAAAATATAAAAATTTTTAGATTGTTGTAGTAGAAAGAAGCTACATACCATGTTCTGTATAGTTCATATCAATGTTCTTTTGCACGAGAGTTGGTGACATGAAAACATTGTTTTTATTCACTGTAAGAAAAAATGTTTAAACAATTTTAAACCCATGGGAGTGTCAGTTTCTATACCATATGAGGTTTAATAGTCTTGTACTGAGTTTACCAGTAGGTGTCGCTGTTGGAACTAACAGTGCTCATTAAAGCTATACATATATATATATATATAAACCAAACCCACTGCCGTCCAGGGGATTCTGACTGATAGGGAGTGGATTCTAACTCATAGCAACTCTACAGGAAAGGGTAGAA